AGCATACAAGCATACATATGGCAATGCAAATAGATGGAAAGGTGGTCTTATACATGAATTAGGCAGCTCTAAAATAGGACTAAAACAGTAGCCAAAGTGCTATAAAATGAAGGCTAAATGGCATGCACACACATATGCACATAAGAACCAACACTTAAGCACAAATCAAACAACATTCAAGCACACTTGAAAGGGGGAATCATGGATAATTAGCATGGAACATAAGCATTGAAAATGCATGTTAGGATGGTGCCAAACCAAGCAACAAATCAAGCTAAACATGCAACAAATAGTCTAAGTGTTCAAAGCAAATCCAAGGAGCATTGAAATACACTTGCAAGACTAAACATGGTATGAGCTTATCAACCAAAAACAGGGTTTTGGGGCGTCAATACAAGGCTTAAGGACCACTTAGATGGCATCTAAGTGATTCAAAATCAAAAGCATGCATAAACACCAAAACATGGAGCATTGCAACACAAGCTTCCAAGGCATTAAAGAAGCATGCAAGGCAATCAAACAAGCATGGAAATGGGACTGAAATGGCATATAGGATGATCCCAAATCACCAAAACAATGTGTAGACAAGCCCGCGGGGGACCTCGCCACAGCTCGGACTCGACTTTCGTCAGTCACGGTTCTAAGTCTGAACCAAAGAGTCCAAATCCGGCAAATCGTTTTTGAGAAAACTGATTTTTGAAAGAAGTGCCAAACATGGACTGCTTTGTCAGATACAGAGTCGCCACCTAAATATTTTATTTTGGGAAATTTAGGAAACCCTGACTCGGTGCCAAAAGGCCACGTGTCCGTCATCACCAAAGTTGCCTCGGCTCGGGAACTTGGGTACGATTGGGGAAGGTCACTTCGTGAGCACCCCCGCTCGCCCGGTCATAGACCGGCCTCTACTAACCATGATATCAATTTTTGAAAACATTGTGAGTTCTTATTCCGGTTTATTAGCCTAGGTTACTATGTGATGCTCGCAGCATATAAGTATAGACCAGGTCACCCGAATTGGAACAAAACATTTTGCCTTTTTGAAAGAGGTTTTGCTACCCGCAGGTAGGCTTGAAACATTTGATGATTTATTCCAATTCAGATAATCCAACCTTCACCCACAGGCATTCAGGCAGTTATATCATATAAGCACATAGCCTCACGGTAAGCATGCTATTCATGGCAGCATTCACACGCATGCAAGGATGCTAAAGCATAAAACTTACCGGGTACTCCAAGCCAAAATAGAATCTTCATTAGAAATCAATGCATGATCCTAAGTATACAGAAATGCCTAATGCAACACATGCAAAAATGCAACTATAGCAGGCTCGGCCATTCTAAGATGGCATATGAAATGCTACAATTATCATGTATTCAATTCGGAATTGAAAATATAATGTAGTTAGTATGATGTGCCGAGCCCGGTGCATGTAAAACTGATGAATGAATGCAAACATGCTGTCATACTGTATGCTAATTTAAACATGCCCTAATCTAACCATCATAAGCGGATAAATAAAAGGGAGAAAGACGTGGTGTTGGAAGACATACAACACACTCACGCACACTTATTACAGTTATGCCCTCGCGCAGAGGGTCCGAATAAATAATACAGTCCCCAAATAAAAGAATATTACAGTCCAAATAATACAAAATTCCGAATTAATTAACAATTAACTAAGAAAACAGTGAAATTGGCATGCAAGCCAGGGACTGTCTTGCTTCTGATGGATGCGTGTCCGGGTTGTCTTGCGCAGAAATCCACCGGAATGCCCCAATTAGCCTCTGTTTACACCTGTTCTTGAAATGCGTGCCAAGCCTCGAAAAATTGCTGATTCTTCGTTTTGCTGCAACAGAGAGCAGGAAAGGGGCATAGCAATGTATTTGCACAGATATATGCATGTCTCGATCCTTGTGCCACCAATCACGCATACCGAGTCATGATGGCCGAGGAGTCGAAATGCACAGCTCAATATAAGATGAATGCACATGAAACTACAGCTAAAACCTAACTCCATCATGGATAATCCGGAGTGTCGGTGACTGGGGAATTTGAATTCCCCTCAATTTTCATCCTATTTCCGTTTTCTTTGCTCTAACTTTCCCTCCTAGCTCTCAGGACGAAGGATTCTCTCTAACTCCCCCCATCCTTCTCCATCATTCTCTGTTTTGTTCTAGGAACTAATTAGTTTAGGCAACTAATTGTTTCATTTTCTTAAGTAACCAAGTTTAACCCAAACTAATCTTGATTGGCAACAGGAAGAAACAATGGGTTAGAGTGAGAAGCTCTCGCATCTCTCTAGAAACCTGCGTTTCTAGGGTTTCAATTCCTCATTGATAAAGATGACAGGAGTTAATGCGTTGCCTAATTCTTAGAGACTCTTGGATTTACGGGTTCAGGATATGGATAGGAACGTTCCTACGGTGGGAATAGAGAGTGATACACTAGGGTTTGTAAGCAACAGATTTGGGATCTTGAGTGCAGCGTCCATGGATCTGTCTACAGTTAACATCGATGAGGGTGTTTTGAATCTTGGGCATTCTAACGACACTGATGTTGTGGAGAAATCCTTGAATCAGGAAGAACGAAGGGTTGCACAACCCTCAGATCTTCAACGAGTGGCAGATCGTTTGGCGAGAATGAGAGACCCATCCTCATCGATAATGACCTCGCCATCTACCGATGGTTCATTATCTTCAGCGCGATGGTCAGAGCGAACGGATTTTGAAACCCCTATGTTTCAAAACCTACCTAATAGTATCCTGGTTGCTCGAAACAGGTTCGATGGTAAGAATCATGGTGATAATCAGTTAGATCAACCTATAGAAATAGGGAAGGAAAAGAATACTGTCTCAGTCGAGGTGGTTCAAGTTACTGAAGAGATCCCTTTGCAGGCGCCTAACCTCGGTGATGTTGGTCGTGAGGAAGTGGCTTCCCGAAGGGGTGGGCTTTCAAATTTCAGAGGAGGTAGAGGAGGTAGAGGGTTAGGGGAAGGCAGAGGTCAAGGCCATACGAAATCCTGGGCTGATGTGGCTGCATCCTCATCGCGATCTAGCATTCCTTTGAGGTATATTCCCCCTACTAGTAGTGATGGCTATGTTAGCGTGAGTCTCCCCCCTAGGCCCAACCCCTTAGAGAAATGGGATTCATGTCTGGTTGGGTACTTCCTGGATAAAGGGGTGTCTTATAACTACTTGAAAAACAGTGCTTTTGCTTTATGGAAAAATAAGGGTTTGAAGGAAGTTCTAGCAAATGGAGAAGGCTTTAGCTTCTTCATTTTTTAGAACCCTGAGTGTTGCAGTGCAGTCCTTGAAGGAGGGCCATGGTACATTGGTGGTTCAAACCTTTTTCTGAAAAAATGGACTCGGATGATGAAGCTTTCGAAGGAAAAAGCTACTACAGTTCTAGTATGGGCTAAGTTTTTCAACGTGTCTTTTGAGTATTGGGATAGTGATGGGCTGAGCCAGATTGCAAGTGCTGTAGGTACTCCTCTGTTTATGGACCAACTCACTGAACAGGGTAGTAGAGTGTCCTTTGCCAGGGTCTGTGTGGAGGTTGAAGCTACATCCAACCTTCCATCGATGTTCAGAGTGAATTGTGAAGATGCAGAAGCTGTAGTGAAGGTCGAATATCAGGGTTTACCCCCTAAGTGTGACCACTGTGTAGTGTTTGGGCATGACACTACCAAATGCGTTAAGACCCAAGTGGCTGCCCTGTTAAACCTCCAGAAACAAACAGAAGACAACCCAGATCCTGGATGGGAAACTGTCAAGGCCAAGGGTAAGAGGAAGGTGGATGTCCCTGAAACTCCTACAACGACAGATAATCATGCAACTTCAAAGGAGGTTGGCCTACAGGAACCTGATGCAGGGCAGAGTCAATAGCAAGAGCACATTCAGGAGGAGCCTGTGGAAACCAGTCCAGTCCTATCAGCAGTGTCTACCCCAATTGAGGGGGAGATTGAGGTTCACAAAATGGATGGCTTGGAGGCTTTGCAAAAGGGTCTGCTAGAAATTACCAGTTTGGTTCTTTCCCATGATGAAGAATTGCTGGCTAAAGTGGAGAAACTAGTGGAAACTACCCCTGGTAGTTCGGCCACCAAGTAGGCTCAAATGGGCACTAAGGCAAAAGGAAGCTCCTCTGGCAAAGGCAACAAAAGCCAGAGGAAGAAACGCAGGTAAATCCCAGTTTATCTGGTTGTGGGTTTCAGATTTTGTTATTTCTAATGTCTTTAAAAATTGCATCTTGGAATGTAAGAGGATTTAATAATCCTTATCGACATAAAGAAGTTCGGAAATTTTTGTTAAATGAAGACATTAAAATTTTGGGCATTTTGGAAACGAAAATAAAAGCTTTAAATGAACAACAGATTTTTTCTGGTGTAAACAATTGGCCCTTTTTGACAAACTCACAACCTACTAAAACTGGGCGGATCTGTGTCTGCTGGGACCCAGCTTTTTGTAAGGTTACTTTGCTATCAGCATCTGATCAATATATTTTTTGTGGAGTTCATGACTTTTCTTCTGATAATATGTTCAAAATCTGTTTTGTTTATGCTGATAATAAACCTGACATTCGAAAAGAATTTTTTGAGTATATGGCTACTATTTCCCATTTGCAGTCCAAAACCAAAACCAACTAAAAACAGAGGCATATTATGACATAATAAAAAGCACTTTGGAATTTGCTACTCGCAAGTAGGCTAAAATACGGATTTCAACGAGTTTTTCCAACTCAGACAATCCAACCTTCACCCACAGGCATCCAAACAGTTTATCACATAAGCATCTAGCCACATGGTAATCATGCTATCATGGCAACACTCACACACATGCGGTATGCTAAAGCATAAATGCTTACCTAGTACTCCAAGCCAAAACAATAAACTAGTTAGCCAACATGCATGGCCCTAGTTCATGTCAAATTGACTAGTGCAACACATACAGGATGCAATTCACAGTAGGCTCGGTAAGTAAAAAGGAGAAAGAAGTAGGGGTTCGAAGACATGCACACACTCACCCACACTTATTACAAATTCGTCCTCGCTCGGACGAATCGAAAGAATAATACAAATTAACTAACTCGCAAGCTAATTAATTATTACAAATCACCTAATTAATTAACAAATTAACTAAGCATAAGAAAAGCAATAAAAGGGGCCTTAGGAGGAGGGTTCGATGCGCGCATGCTTGGGTCTTGCTCGGAAGTACACCGCCATGCATAAGCTGCCTCTGTTTTCCCTGCACTACCTCTTGAAAGACTGCCAAAGTCTCAGAATTGTTTCCCTGGGCATTGGGAGACACCACCGGCTGAGTAGAATAGCCACCGGCAGTGTTATGTGATCATCGGCTGTTTATGAAGCTATCGGCCCAGGAAGGATAGCCGGTCGGCATTAAACACTGCCGGTCGGCAGAAAGTTCTTGCAGAATCTATAATTGACAGCAACAGAGGGCAAGGCATAGCATGGTGATGCAATTCAAGCAATATATGCACCAATCCTATCCCTTATCATGTGTATGACTCAAAGGGACATGGTCCTTGGTTCTCGGACCATCAATCGTGCATTTCCATGCGTGATGGCCCAAGGGACCAAGTGTGCACATTTTGATGTCAAATGCAATGCAAACCAACAAACCAATGGGACTCAACCTCTATCATGATTTGGTCAAGAGGTAGAGCATGCATGCCAATGCAATGCAATCTTAAGCATGTTCATTAGTATGTAACATGGATAATGCAAGCAAGCATACAAGACATGCAAGACATGGGATAATGCAACCAACAAGTATGCAAGGCACAATGTGGGTATTTAAGCATGTAATCAAACATGTCACTTCATTCAATCATGCAAGTTCAACTATGCAACAACTCACCAATATGCTACAACATACAAGGAGTACATGCAACAAACAAAGAGGTGGACTTAAACATGATTTAGGCAGTCCTAACTAGGCCTAAAACAGTGGCCAAAGTGCCCAAAATGAAGGACTAACACACACGCGCACATGCATGCAATGGGTGTCCAATACTTCAAGCATTTAAAAGCAATTCTCAAGCACACTTAAGAGGATGCAAACATCGACTAACGTCATGCATTAAGCTCTGAAAATCATGCAAGAACATGGTGCCAAACCAAGCAAACAAGATAGGCTAAGCATGGGACAATGGTCCAAGATTCAAGGCAAGCTAAAAGGGGTATTTGACCACACTTAGCAAGATCAAACATGGCATGGATTTAATAACCAAAACAGAGTTTTAGTACATAAAACAAAGCCCAAAAGACCACTTAGATGGCATCTAAATGGCTTGAATTCAAAGGCATGCACAAATGCACTTTCAAGTAGCATACCACACAAGCTCATAAGGCATCAAAGGGGCATCGAAGGCAAACATACAAGCATGCTAAGGGGACTGAAATGATGCTACAAATGGTGCCAAATCATTAAAACAAAGCAAGTAATGCATGTTATACCTTCACATACTCAAGGCCAACAAGCCAAAATGCAAAGGGGTTATACTAAACATGTGATGGCTGACCAAAATGACTAAGGACGGACCTCAAACATGGCAAAATAAGCACAAAAGCTTCACAAAGCTAAGCCTAAAATATACTTGAACAATGGTTTACAACCTAAGGCATATTAAGGCCTAAACATGGCATTACAAGGTAGGTATGCTAACCATGCATGGTGTACCAAAACCAATTAAAAATAGAAGCATATTATGACATAATAAGCACAAAAATCAGCTAAGGCATGGTCAAAATGAAGCTTAGCTAGGTGCTCCCTCAAGAGGCCAAAAATGGTCCATTTCAAGGACAACAAGGAGAGGGGGTGGCCCTCTCCTCCCTAGGACCTTAAGGCACCATCCTCACCTCTAAAATCCCTCAAGATTTCAGTGGTGAGGAGGCCCAAACACCAAGGTCCCGGAGCTCACTCAAAATAGCACAAAATGGGGCCTCTCAAGGCCTAAGAGGGGTCAAACACCTCCAAACCACAAAACACTCTAAACAAACTATTTAGAGGGCCTAAAAACAGAACTTTTTTATATTATACACTAAGCTCAAAAACAGTTCTAAGATTGGCAAAAATGCAATGCAAGAAAGGGGTAAAAAGGGCAAGATTGTTACCCTTGAAGACCTCTTCAACAATGGTGGACCAGCTGCTCCTCCAAGCTCAAAACCACCCAAGAACCTCAAGAACAACCTCTTAGAACCTCAGTAGCCAAGGGAAGGTGTAACACTATGTGTTTGTGTGCAATAGTAAGACACAAATGCACTTATACATACACAAAGGTAAAAAGAAAGAGAGAAATAGAGATAGGTGAGACACAAACCCTAACCCTAATCCAGAGCTCTCCTCTGTATATTTTCTAACCTTTTTGTCCAACCCTAAAGCCAAGAGAGGAGGGCTCCTCTTGTAGAGGTGCCAATCTTGTAAAGCTTACAAGGTAAGCTAACAAGAAGGCCATCCCCCCATACACGTGTATGGAGGGGAACAAAATGCCATACAGCTGTATTAAAATATCTGCAAAAGCAGATGAACAGTAGTCGGCTGCTCAAAATTGTCATTTTGACAAAATGGACTGCCGACCGGCAACAAAGAATGCCAACCGACAATATACATTGCCGATGGCAACAAAACACCAGCCGGTGGCCTTTGGCCATGGCCGGTGATGTGTGGGGATGCCTCAGAAGGTATTCCCTGCCCCTCCAAGGCAAAACACAAGTGTTTGGTGCAAAACTAGACACTAAACAGTCGAGTTCGGAGATCCCGAGGCAAGGCACGTAGCCGAGACCTCCGGGATCTCCAAACGAACACAAACATGGATGATCACCGAGAGTTCAAACGGTGACGTCCAAGTCTTGAGGACGGTCAAAAACGGGGTGTCTACACACACGTGACCCTCTTGTGGTTTGCTCACATAGTGAATTACTTGGCGGTTGATCAAATTCTGAAAACTTGGTCTAAGCAAGGCAAAAACCGATTTTTCTCACAAGTCAAACACTATTTCTGGGAAGACCCGAAATTGTTCAAGTATTGTCTGGATCAAGTGATTTGGCGTTGTGTACCGGAGAGTGAAACCCATAGCATTCTCACATTTTGTCACTCTCATGCATGTGGTAGCAATTTCAGTGGGCAAAAAACAACCGCCATGGTTTTACAATGTGGGTTCTACTGGCCGTCTATCTTTAAAAATGCCCATAACTTTTGTAGAGGTTGTGAGCGTTGCCAACATATGGGCTCTATGTCACGATGAGATATGATGTCGATGACCCCTATTTTGATTGTTGAGATTTTTTATGTTGGGGTCATCGACTTTATGGGTCCCTTTCCACCATCTTTTAGATTTAAATACATTTTGGTGGCTGTGGACTATGTCTCCAAGTGGGTAGAGGCAGTGGCCACCAGAACGAATGACCACAAAGTTGTGGTGTCTTAAGGTCGGTCAAAAATGGGGTGTCTACAATACCACACAAGCTCATAAGGCATCAAAGGGGCATCCAAGGCAAACATACAAGCATGCTAAGGGGACTGAAATGATGCTATAAATGGTGTCAAACCATTAAAACAAAGCAAGTAATGCATGCTATACCTTTACATACTCAAGGCCAACAAGCCAAAATGCAAAGGGGCTATACTAAACATGTCATGGCCGACCAAAATGACTAAGGACAGACCTCAAACATGGCAAAATAAGCACAAAAGCTTCACAAAGAT